GCAGAGCGTTCCACGAGGGTACGCTCACGACGGCGGCAAGAGTGAAAATCGACTTGTAGCTGGAAGCTACGGCAGAACTTTCAAATCGCCGCTCTACCCGGCCTTCACATTTTCACTAGATGATTTTCACTCGACGCTGTGATTCACTTTCCTCCTCGGGTGGGCGTTTACATCGGCCAAGCGCAAAAAGGCGCGAGAGCCGGTCACGAATCCCGTTGAGGATATCGAATCAGACCTCACTAGTAAACGTATACGATCGTATATCGAGTTAGATCGAACCGAGCAAGTTAATTCTTCCGCGTGTCGCGGAAGAATTAACTCCGACTCTGATAATTCCGAATAAGCAAGACGAATCGAGGGGATGGGCGGAATGAGAGTTTTAAAATCAGTGGTAAAATCTTGATTTTGTAAAAAATTAAAATAACTTGCCTCTTTCTTATTACAAATGTGTTTTTTCATTTTCCTTTTTCCATAGATTATATCATTTTCACCACAGGACAATCAAAACATGTTCATGTTTAACCAGCATAAGCAACATCAATTTCTTTGCGCTAACTTTTGGAAAAAGAGCCTAAGTAGAATTGTACCTTTATTCCCAGCCATCCCCTCAATTGTACTTTTATTTCCTTCCTCGAGATGTCAATTTAGTTCATAAATTTGTATTGCACGTGCAAAAGTTCCAAGAGTAAAAGTTAATTACTTTTGGAACTTTCGAGTGTACGAGCATGCGCGCGTTGTGTTAATACGAATGTGTAAATTAAATCGTTATCTCGGAGGAGAGAAATAAGAATACAATTAGGCTGAAGGCGTACGGCTGAATATAGATTGAGAATTAATTTTCTTACGTTTCGAGGTAGAGCAGCGTTACTTCTTCCACGCACTCATTCGTGCACACAATCGGAATGATCGGATGGAAGCGGATATTAAAGCGAGCTAATAAACGAGCGCGCTGCTCATTTGCAATGCCGCAATCTCGAGCAACGACTTTATTTGGACGGTAGCTGACTGGAATCGGTTAGAAAGCACTCTCGGATAGAGAACCGCCGTGTATTAACTCGATCTTCCCGTGACTCGGGTCTTTTCCCAATTATCGAAGCTTTCACCCTCGCGCTCACACAGGCCGCTCGCTTCTAATCGCTCTAAAATCGGTATGCTATTATCGCGGCGAGGCGAGACGTCACGCTAGACTACGGGCATTTATCGTTCGGGCCTCCTCGTCACGATCCATTTGGCTGATCGTAAACGTTACAGAGGATCCTGATCGCACGCTACAGAAAAGGGTAAAGGGAAAAGAAACGAGAGAGAGGTGGTTTAACGAAAAAGGAGAAGGAGGAGGACAAAGTGGCTACGAGGGCATCGCGTCCATGAGAGAAAGAGAAAAGGAGAAAGAGACAGATAGATCTGAATACTACCGCGTGGTACCGGATGGAGAGAGAATACCCGATGGAGGGGGGGGCGATCGGGGAGACGATTTGGACAGCGACGGCCCTGAGCCACTTGCCACAGTAGGTCAGCTCTCTTCACCTCGCTTCGCCTCGTTTTTCGAGCCTCCATTATACACACACAAGGAGGAGATCCTCCTCGGTCGAGCTCTTCCAACGATATATGCTTTCTTCGCGCCCGCCACCCCCTGCTGTACGTGTTTACCTGGGCTTGAAATCCGATTCTTTCATCGCGCGTTCGCCACCGAATGCATTGCGAATGGATCCTGGATTTTCTTTATTCAGATCTTCGCGACCGATGCAAGCTCGTCAAATAACGAATTTACAGGGATCTCCCTCATCAAGACCCATTTTCCCGGGTTTACAACAACTGCGAAAATCCGAAATCCGCGCGTGCGAATCTCTCTTGTTGTGCGATCAGAAACGCTTAGATCGCAGCTTTATTCGCATTTAAAGCGGACTTTTAATTAAACGAGGAAAGTGTACATGGCACTGAAAAGATAATTCGTACGCAAGATTGGAGCTGTTTTGAGGGCAGTATATATAGTTTCGTACGCGTTTCAAGTGGAACACAATGCGCGCTCTCGCGAGACAACGGCAAAGAAAAGCGCGAAGCCTTTGACGACCTTTTGACAGACGCGTGCGGGCCGAGTTTTATCGGCGATTCGCCGACGATAGTTACGCTACGATAACGAGAAAAGTGGGTCGGTCCCGAGAAGAGCGCGGCGAGTCGGGGGAGTTAAAGCGCGGCGGCGGCGGCGGCGGCTAGCATAACTCCTCGGTGAATTAGCGGCGGCGAAACGGTGTCATGTCGCAATTTTGTGGAAACAATTCGCGCCAGCCTTTGCTCGATCCTCCGGGGAAACGTATTGCCCTAATGTGATTAAGAGAAGACCGTGAGTAGTGGCACCGCCACGGTGCCACGGTATGTTATTTCATCCAATGAGAGAACTTTACGAGCGAGCCACACTAATTAATCATTAAAGTAATTTTTTAGTATTCATCGGAATGACTCCTTTTCGGATCCATTTTCTCCTCTAACAGGATAAAATCCTTCGCCGAGTAAATTTCCAAGTACGGCCACTTTGGCGTGAAATACATTCATTCCGCGTTCTTCCCTTTCCTTTTGCAGGCGGAATTTCGGGTTCTAGGGCTCATAAATCACGCAGGGCACCACCGCGAGCCCATTTTCTCCAGATGTCATTCGGATCGATAATCCACTCTCGACGTCACGTCGATTCTCTCTTCCCTTAGGAGGAAGTTCATCCGTCCGCGACGGGAGAGAGGACTTATCGTTAACCTCGATCCTCTCTCGTAGCCGCGATGTTTAATACCCACTCCCACTCATCTAACTGTACCACTAGGTCGGCCAGGTGCCATCAGCGATCGATTAGATAGATGTCGATTAGGGAACCTTTGATGTTAGGAGCTGCGACACAAGAAGGAGCGCGAGACAAAAACAGTGTGAGATATAGCACAACGTAAGAAATAAGCTGTAAACGAAGAACAAATGTACAGGAAAACGAATCTATAATAAGAAGGTTCCATACATAACACGGTTAAGCTGAGACATAGAAATCTATTCATAGCATCTTTGTCCTTTCTATTTTTCTATCCAATCACATTATACACAGAAAGAACACTTTTGCTGGCAAATCTAAAAATTTGGCTAGATACAAATCTGAAAACGATTTTGTTGGACCTTCAAAATTATTATACGATGTTCAAATTGATTGTTAGAAGATCAAACATTTTTGCAGTATTATCATCATATTTAAGTGTGCTACAAAATAATTTTGATGGGTCAACAAAATTATTTTCAGATCTGATCAGTATCTGATCAAATTTTTAGATTTGCCAGCAAAAGTGTTTTTTCATGTAAGATTCTCGTTATCTTTATTCCAACATATTTCACTTTTTCTTTTTCCAATATATATATATATAAAATTTATTTTATATATATTATTTTGAGTCATAGAAAACTTCGTGACATCTTTGTTTTTTCCATTTTCCTATCCAATCGTATTATCGGATTCTCATTAACTTTATTATTCATCCGAATATATTGCACTTTTTCATTTTTCAATATCTTATCGTATTTATTATTTTATTTGAATATTTATATTTCTGACATTTATTGTGCTGATCTTTATTCTTTTCCTCTGGAAGAATCTAACGGAACCCGGATGGTATTACATCACAATACTAGTTACACTGATTCAACAACAGGTCACGCTCGCATGAGACAAGCGAAATTGTCCGGGCAAGCGAAATTTGTAGCGGCGTTACATTGATCTTATCGTCGTTACACCGAAAACGCGCGTCGTTAACATCGGCACCAGTGGTTAAAAAGAGGAGCGTAAGGCCGAGTAAGAGTAGTCAGACTGGTTTGCTATAAATCGTCTCTCGATTACAGGAGTCGCATTGGCATCGATTAAATCAGTATTAAACTGCTCGATCTGTCATCCGCAAGCTAATAATTCGCGTGGCGCCACGATAAAAAAATTTCTTACTAATATGATGACCGCTTACCGTTGCTTCGCTTTTCGAAAGAGTCAAAGATCTACATGATTTTCTAGATTATGGAGGTGATTGACATTCCGTTTAATGCCGAAACAATATTTTTCTATTTAATAAGGATGTATAAAAATAATAATGGAAAAGTAAAATAATGCAAAAAAGAATGCAAAAAAAAAAATAACCCGTAATAACTCGCTTTTGTTTTTTCGTATTGATGTACAAACGAAATAAATATTCGATGTTTTTACTTTGCGCTGAATGCACATTATTCTATGCGAGTAATCCAAAGATTAACAAACAACGTAGTGCACCTGCTTTAGGATGCTCCTACATTTGGGAAAGAACCATATATTTAGAGCGGCGGGAATTCGGGGTCCCAGATCGTATTTATCCCTAATTCGCTTAGGACACAGTGTTTAGGATCCGCGGGTGGTATACACAAATGATGATGATGATGATGATGATGATGATGATGATGATAACAATGCTAGTGAAGAGAACAAGAATAAGGGAGCTCGCTCCTGTACCC